AGGTAATGAATGTCAAATGCTGGTCACAGGCTTTGGCTTGTCAAAGCCAATAAACATTAGCTATCCAGATGAGTCTCCTGCCCACCAAAAAGCCTGCCCCTTCCCTTCTTGGAGCCTCAGTTTATGTACCTGTTTAATGGGAGTTGATTGGCCTAGTTGATCTCTCTCTAAGGGACTCCCACAGGATAGAGGTGATCAGCTGAGTGGGGCAAAGGCTGGGAAGGGGCATGGGAAGCTTCCAGATATATGGCTTCCTACATCGCCATTGGCGATGTGTGATACTTTAACTGATGGGCATGGACACTCGGGGCCCAGGACTTCTCCAGTGGAATCAGAAATCACAAGAAGCACTCTAAATACTCAAAAGTAGGGAGTGAGAATAATAAATTGGGAGTATTGCTTTTGTTTTTGTCAGAAACCATAGGACTGAATGGGACATAGTGTGGGGGCTCCCTTTGTGAGAGTGGAAGGCCTCACAGGGTGTTGTGAGGGGTTGTTCTACCCCAGCCCCTCGTTCCCCGTGATAGATCCTGAGAGAGAGGGGCGCAGACCAGTCTATTACAAATCTCCCCAAAGCCCTAGGGGAGGAGTGGCAGCAGGGGTTAGGGAAGCCTCTCTCTCAGGGTCTCTGTTGATGTTTGGTCATTGGAGCCAAACAGACCTATCTTCATGTCTACTTTTTACTAGACACTCACTGTATGACCTCCATCAAGTCATCTCTCCTCTCTGAACCCCTTGGTACAACAGACACAAGAAAACACTACCCTCATGGGGCAGCTGAGAGTATTAACAGAGTGACCGTCTGGGGCTGAGGGCCTAGTGTTATCTTGGGTACGTCAGGTTTCAAGATGGCTTAGTCTAATTTTCCATGTGTCAGCCTCTACTAAGGCATGGCACTGATAACCTCATTGTTAATGCACCTGATAACCCTGAGAAATTGGTCCATTATCCCAATTTCACAGTTGAGGCCATGATGCTCACATAGGTTAAGTCACTTGCCTGAGGGCACACAGCTAGGGAGTGGCTGAAATGCAATTTAAGCTCAGGCTGCCTGGCTCTAGAGTAAGTGTTCATAAACATTTGCTAGCTGCTTCTCAGAGTGGTGAATTGAGAAGAGACAGGGAAGAAGCCAGCTGGACACAAGGAGAGCCAGTAGCAAGGGGGCTTAGCTGGAGCAATTGGGAGAGCCTCTCTCAGTAGGTAAAAGATGAGAATCATATACCAACTGGGACGAAGTTGCAGGGAAGGCCATTCTAAACAGAGGGCACAGAATGTGCAAAAGCATTGAGGTGGGAAAGAAGATAGCTTATTCAAGGAATAATGAGTGGGAGGAGATGAAGGCAAGGATGATGCAATGGTGGGAGTTGTGTCTGAGTCTGGGGCACTGCTCTTTTACTGTCTGTGTATCTCAGGTCAGTGGTTAATTCCTTACTCCTTGCCTGTGGCACTGTTGGGAGGCTAGTGCAGGCCGAGGACATAGAGATGCCTGGCTCTGTGCCTTCTTGTGCTGGGGGCCCTGTAATCTGAGGCTAGCGGGCTTGTTGTGGTTTGCTGGTAGTGGCCTGTGAACCTCTGTTTGTTGTGGTGACAGTTGCTGCAGTGGGCCCATACCTGGGTGCCCTTGGGCTGCCTGACTATCTGGGCCCAGTGCTGACATCTATGGCAGACAGTGGTACCAGCTAACAGGCTGTGGCCTGTTTCTGGGCTGTCTCCTTGGTGGCCTCACCCATTTTCTCCCACAGCTGGCATGGCTGTCCCGCGGAGCCCATGTTACTCTAGACTGAGGTCTAGTGACTCTGAAAGGCAGGTGGGTGAAAAGGCCAGGACCACACTCCTCCCACTCACCCAGCCCATGTGCTCAACGCAGCCTCTGTCCGTATCCAGGCCCATGAGAAAGGCAGATGGGAGCGTACCTTCACTGAGCGCCTTGGGCCTCTTCACATGGTCCTCGCCCACCTGGCCTGGCTACAGTGTGGAAGCTCCCTTGACAGATGGGAAAACTGAGGCTTGGTGAGGGGGAACATATCTTATGAACGGATCACAGGGCAGGAGGTGGGTGTGCAGGCTAGAGCCAGGGGATGGTGCAAATGAGGCCAGGAGCAGAGTAGTGTGGGAAGGGTGTGGCTATGAGCCCCAGCAGAACCCTGAGTGTGTTAACTTTTCACATAAAATAGTTTACTTTCTATTTACGAAAAGCATCAAGTCAAGAATAAAAGGTACCCATAATTCTGATTACTTAAGATGAAAATTTTTACCTCTGTGGAGAGGCTGATAATAACCATGGTGGCCATTTTTAGTCCATTGCAGCAAGGGTCCCCAACCCCTGGGCTGCATAGCAGGAGGTGAGTGGTGGGCTAGTGAGTGAAGCTTCATCTATACTTGCCACCGCTCCCCAGCACTAGCATCACCGCCTCAGCTCCACTTCAGATCATCAGGCATTAAATTCTCATAGGAACACTGGTCCCTGGTGCTAAAAATGTTGGGGGCTGCTGCATTACAGGATCACATACAGTGTGCCAAACTCTGTGCTGAGTGCTCCGCAGATGAGACCTTGTCTTATCAGCCAGGCAGGTGGGCATTTCTTTGAGGTCCTGTTTTGCAGATTGGGAACCTGAAGTGCAGAGAGGAAGGTACTGTGCTGGGTCTCAGCTAGGGTGCATAGCTGGGCTTCCTTGGGCAGCCATATGCCAAATGCATGATAGCAACACCAGCCTGGCCAGCGGCCTCCACAAGCTTCTGGGCAACCCAGGGCCCATGTCCTTACCCCAGAGATTGGTGTAGACCTAGTCTGATTCTGAGAGAGCACAGAAGTGGCCTTGGGAATTGATGGCCCTGTATGCCTTGGCTTTTCTCCGTTTTCTTCTTGCTGTGTGGAATGTGCTGGGCCCCGGGAAACCTGGCAAAACCTCTGGGTTCCTGGTCAGCATGAGATACCACAGTGATTCCTGTGGGGTGTGTAGCAGGCCTATCCCTCTGGCCACAAAGAGAAGCTTCCTGCAGGAGGTGATGCTGTGAGCCACTTGACTTGGCTTCTTGGGGTCTCCGAGTCAGCAAATCCAGGCGTGCCTTCCTGGCCAGACCCCTGACTAATTGTGCAGCAACTTCACCTCTGAGCCTCAGTTTCCCCAAGTAAAATGAGGCTAAGATCTCTTCCCTTAGGGTTGTGGAGCATCTGCCATGCGTATTGGGAAGGGCCATGTGTGTGACTGACAGGCTACTGCCTTGATGGATGAAAGCTTTGGAGTGAGACTTACCCAGCCCCTGACAACCAGCCCTATTACCTCTTCTGTAAAATGGGATGAAAATGCCTCACATGGGAGGTCATGATTAGGTGACTGGTGCATCCCAGTGCCAGGGGAGCCGATGGTGGATGCCCAATGAATACAGCTGCTTCTGCTGCTGTTATTATTACTATTTGTTGAAACTGTTGTTTCTTGAGGCCTCCGGGTCAGGCCCTGGACAGGTGCAGTAGCTTTGATGCAGGCTGAGTGCTGTTCTAAGTGCTTTACTCAATAAAGCTACAAAGTAGGTGCTGTTTTTATCCCTGTTGCAAGGATAAATGTACTGAGGCTTAGAGAGGTGTGAGGAATTGCCTGAGGTCACCCAGACGGTAAGGGGCAAAGGTAGGATTTGAACTTGGGGCAGAGAGAGCCCATGCTTTTGGCCTGGCATTAGGGTGTCCCTGGGGTGACTTCTGTGGAGAGGCTGCGGGTACCTGCTGTGCTCTGCTCACCCACCTCAGTGCAGACGCTGGGAACCTATCCCCACTGGGGTTGTTCTGTTTCCTGGAGGTTTATCTGTACTGAGGACAGCCTGGACCGGGCTTCATATTCCTAGTGGCAGTAATAGCCCCACCCCATCACTTGACAGTGGTGCCAGGCAGCCTGCCTGCTGGGCCTGAGCGTATGGGCCCCGCCATGCCAGGTTCACAGATGAGGCACTGAGGTCGCACAGTGAGGCATGACAAAAGTTGAATATGAACTCTGTTCAGAGGTGGCTTTAGGGCTGGGGTCTCCTAGTACTCCCTGCACACCCATAGGTGGTGGCAGAGCCTTGGGTGGTTCTTAGTTCTCTGGTGGCCAGAGTGTGTCAGCAGTGGTGGTGTGGGTTGGGTTGGGAGGGCAGAGCAGGTTGCTGGGCCATGAAAGGAAGCAGGAAAGACTCTCCTGCCGGAGCAGGGATGTGAGCTTCACCGTTTCTGCTGTGAGTGGGTTGGGAAGTCATAGTTGTGTCCCAGCTCTGCCACCCATGTGCTCAGTGACCTAGGCAACTCCCCTTCTCTGGAAAATGAAGCCCCTGAGAGCTGGGGCTGCGGACTCAATCAAGCCCATCTTGCTCCTTACTGATGGGCTCCCTGATGTCTCCAAATCTTACTTTTCTTGCTTTTCTGAGATGATGCTGTGCCTTCTTCTAAGGGTGGCCCTAATGAAAGCTCCCTCTGCCGTGCCAGCCTCATCTGTGTCCAGTACTCCATCATACTGAGCCTTCTTTAGCACTGGCCACATGCATCTAGGTCTAGAGGTGTGGAGCTCAGCCACACTGGGGCTCTGAAGAGCCAAGCCCCTCACCCATCCTCAGGAGTGAGGGTAAAGGAGGAATTGCCTCAGGACTCAAGCCCACCTGGTACCCTAAAAGGGGAGCCAGCTTCCTGGGGTGCCTTTGAAGGGAACAGCAAAGGTAAGAACTATTGTGGTGGGAGAAAAATGGGCACCAGGTTTTAGCCAGGGATTCCCCAGCTTGTGTCCTTCCAAGCCTCTCGGCCACCCCTGAGGTGGGCATTTGTGTTCTAAGGTTGCATATGTGAAAATTGAGGCTCAGAGGTAGTGGGGGCAGTAGAGCTGGGACCTGAAAGGAGCACTGTCTGCCTCAGGAACCCCCACCAAGGTTAGCATCACAGTAGGGGAGGGCGTCTGTAACAGTTTGCTAAGGTTGCCAGAACTAAGTATTACAGACCGGGAGGCTTCACAGAAACTTACTGTCTTATTGTCTCTCCCTTTTAGGAAAATCTAAGAGGAAGAAGGATTTACGAATATCCTGTGTGTCCAAGCCACCTGTGCCCAACCCTACGTGAGTCTGCCTCAGTTTCTTCCCTGGCTCAGCCTGTTGTGGCTTCCTTGAGGGGGCCCAGTGGAGCAAGTGGTGGGGGAGTGTGTCCTAGGCAATGCCTCTAGTCATGGGGCTTACAGGCATCATGCATTTGTTCTGTGCCCCTTCTTGCCCCATCTCAGAGATGGGAAATTGAGGCACCTTGTGCCTGGCATAGCAGATGCTCAGAGACTGAGCTGAGGTGCCTTGAGGAGCACCGTCTTCTGGGGACAGGACTTGCCCCGTGCCAGGCTGGTTTGCTCCTTCTCTCAGGGGAAGGATGTAGGTGTCTCTGAGGCTCACAGGGTTGCTTTCTTCTGATAGGCCACCCCGGAACCTGGACTCCCGGACCTTCATCACCATTGGAGATAGGGTAGGTGCTGGCTGCAGCCTGGGGCATGGCCTTTACGTCTCTCAGCCTTGGTCTCTTCATCTGACAGTGGGCCCTAGTTGACCCCGTAGGACCACTGGGAGGTGGCTGTGGGTGTTGGACAGATCTAGGCTTTGGAAAGGAGTTTTGCTCACAGGATCCTAACTGTGTGACCCTGGGCCTCCCACTCTCTAACCCTCTCATCTGGGATGGGGACATTGGCCTCCCTCGTGGGGCCCTGGTGAGTTTCTTGACCTCAGAGTTTGGGTTGTAGGACCACCTGGGGGAATAGTGTGTGGAAAAGAAGACTCCTGGCTGTACCCTTAGGACCAGAGCTTGGGAACCTGCATTTCATATGCACCTCTGATGGCTTGGGCAGCAGGGACTGAGAATTCTAGCTTAGGGACCAGGCTAAACCCACCGGACATGCTGAGGGGCTCCAGACAGAGATCTCACTCTGGAGGCCCCTTCTTAGCTGATAGCCCCTCTAGGCTTATTTTTCATCCCTGATACTTGTCACTATTTGATGTCCAGTTCATCTACTACTTCCTTTTTTGTCTGCCTCCCATAATGGAGAGCAAGAGAGAAAGTAGGAAGCCCAGGACCACACTGCTCACTGTGTGGGCAAGACCTTTGTTTTGTTCTCTCTGTGTCCCCAGTGCCTAAAATAGGTGCTTAGTAAATACTGGTTGAATGAATGATTCAGTCTACCCACCTGAGTAGGGTAGGGGGCAAGAGGGAAAGGCCATCTCTTAAGTTCTGTGCGTCTGCCGGGGGCATTTCACAGGCTGTCTTACTTAAACCTCACAACAGCCCTTGAATATTGGTGCCGTGTCTGTTTTATAGAGGGTGATGTGAAGCTTAGAGAGAGTAAGTGACTTGTCCTAGGTCAAATGGCAGGATTTGAGGTTGGTGCAGGATTTGAGCCCATACCTAACCGACTGGCTGTCTTCTCTTTCCACTGCTCCAGCTGTCTCCAATGAATGAGGCGTGAGAGCCAGTTCTTTACTTTTGGCCACCAACTCTCTCTCTTTTCTGTCCCCTAAGAACTTTGAGGTGGAGGCTGATGACCTGGTGACCATCTCGGAACTGGGACGTGGAGCCTATGGGGTGGTAGAGAAGGTGCGGCATGCCCAGAGCGGCACCATCATGGCTGTAAAGGTAAGCAGGGTCCCCCTCTGCCAGGGAGCCCTGGGCCAGGGGATACCCGGGAGGTGTGGGGGCTGAGACGGCCTATGGGTACCCCTCAGAGCTCCTGGCCCTTGTGTAAGCGATGGTAAAGTACTTGTCCCCTGCCACACGGCTCCTTAACTGTAGCCCTCTCACCTGCAGCGGATCCGGGCCACTGTCAACACACAGGAGCAGAAGCGTCTGCTCATGGACTTGGACGTCAACATGCGTACAGTCGACTGCTTCTATACTGTCACCTTCTATGGAGCCCTCTTCAGAGAGGTGTGGCCTTGGTGGGAGGGTGGGAGGTGGGTGCTAGGCTGGGGACTGTCCTGACCTTCCGTCTGCACATCTGCCCCCTTCCATTCAGCCTCAGTTTCCTCATCTTTGAAATGAGGCCAGTAATTGTACCCACCTCACACAGTTGACACGAAGATGAAATGATGTAGCCTAGGGCCTGGCACAAGGTTGTGTGCCACAAGGTTGTGTGACTACCTGCCTTACTAGCATCCTGGCCAGCAGGGTGGGGCTCCAAGCAGAGGTAGCCATGGAAGTGTTCAAGGATTCTATTCTGGGTCTACAGGAATTACTGGATCGGGGGTGAGAGAGGAATCAGTGACATCAAGGGAGCGTGGCCTGTGGAGCTAGAGGGATGGGCTGTTGCTGGGTGGTGTGAAGGGATGGTATGGGGTGTGAACAGAGACCAGGAACCTGGGTTAGATGTGCTAGGTTTACGATGGTGATTTGCCACCTAGAGTTCAGGACTGAGATCAGGGCTCCTCTTGCCCGGCCTCACTCTGAGCACTTACTGGGTCTCTGAACTTACTGGTGTGGCAGACTCAGTGCCTCACTGGATCTACTTGTCTGATTGGCTAAGCACCCACTGCATTTCAGGTTCAGGTTCTCTATCCCCTTGCCACTTAGGGGGACAGACACATACCCAGGAGTCTCACCACACATGGGGTCAGAGCTGGCAGGGAGGCCCAGGAGCCTGTGGATGCCCCCAAGGAGGTGCTGTACCCAGCCTTCCCAGAAGGCTGTGCTGAAGGATACACAGGAGTTTGCTGAGGGACCAGGGGCAGGGGAGGCAAGGCATTGCAGGTGGAGTAGGGAACCATCCACCAGGGTCAGAGCTGGGACAAGCTATGTGTGTTGGGGGCAATAAGAGCTGAAGCAGGAGGGGTCTACAGGGCTAGGTCATGGAGCTGAGCTGCAGCCAGCCTGTGAAAGTCCCCATTGGAGGGACACATCAGGTATTTTAGTCACTTCTCTTTCATAATTGCCATGGAATTAGGGATCAGATAGGAGGACCCAGTGTGTGGACCCAGCAGTGTAGGCAAGCCTGGAAGATGGAGAAGCAGGCAGGTCGAGAGATTTTGGGAGGCAGGGTGGGAGAAGCTGGGAACTCAATAAATCTCTGTGGACTGAAGGACGGGAGATGTGTCTGCTGGAGGCCTGGCTGATACTAGCACCAGGGCAGGCAGTTCAGGCACAGGTGCAGCCCTAGGCAGGCCTGGGCTGACTTCTGGGCATCTACCCACAGGGAGATGTATGGATCTGCATGGAGCTCATGGACACATCCTTGGATAAGTTCTACCGGAAGGTGCTTGATAAAAACATGACGATTCCAGAGGACATTCTTGGGGAGATTGCTGTGTCTGTAAGTGGCCTGGGTGGGGTCTGGAGTTCCAGATACATAGCCAGATGCACCAGCCCTGCCCCAGCAGGCACAAAGCCCAGTCTTTTGTATTTTGGAGAGAGCTGGGTCCCACTATGGCCCTGAACCTGGGCTACTGCCCACCAGGGGCTCAACCCTGGACCAGAGCCTTCTTTCTTGATCAAGACTTTAGAGCCTGGGGCTCTGGGAGACATACAGATTGGCAGCTTCTGGTTCTCTAGGCTTTTATGTGCAACTTCCAAGCTTCCTAGACCATTTTACAAAAGGACTTAGTAGTTACAACTTCCTCATGCTGAAAGGGCTCTCAGTCAGCTCAAAGAGGTACAAGTTAAGTTGAAGGAAAGGTTAGCATCCAAAATGTGTGCCTTTTGAGGATGAACATTACTAGAGGAGGGCAGCAATCTTGGGCTTGAACATCCCGGCAGCCAAAGCAAAAAAAAAAAAAAAAATGGGTATACTGGTGGTTCTCAGTCTTGACTGCATCTGGGACCGTTTAAAATATACCGATGCATGAGTAATGAGTCAGGATCTTTGGGTTAATTGCCTGGGCTCCCCCACCATGTCTCCCTTAGGGGAATAGCTCAAGCATGTAGTCTACTGACTGTTGACAGAGGGGAGAGGAGCCAGAGAGGCTGCAGAAGGGCTGGGTTTTACCCAAGAACCTTGTAGGGAGTGTTGATGGTCTACTTGCGGGGGGATGGTGGGGGGTTGTCAGAAGCCTGAGACTCTTCAGGGGTCTCCCGTACATCTTTCCCTGGTAAAGGCATGGGCCCAAGGCCCTGGCTTACTCCAGTGGGTGGGAGAAAAGCTGGAGGCCAGGTTTGTTTGCACCAAGGTTGTCAGGCCACCAGGGCAAGTATTAGGATGTGGGCAGGAGCCTGGGTTAATGAGAGGCTGGGTGGGTAAGTAGGTGAGGGAGACAGATGGACACAGACAGGGACATCTTACTGCTTTGTATTATTGATGTAACTGTAAGTAACAACAGTTCTGTTTCTCTCTTCCTCTCTATCCTGCAAACAAGATTGTGAGGGCACTGGAGCATCTGCACAGCAAGCTGTCCGTGATCCACAGAGGTCAGTACCCAATGTCGACCATTAGGGAGAGGCTCACGGGCTACTCACATGCATGGTCTTGCCCAGTCCTGCAAGGCAGGTGGTTCTCTTCCCTTTTTCAAGATGAGCCAACTGAGGCTCAGAGAGGTGATGGGTAGGAATGTGCCTGCTGGGGTTGGGAGTTGAGCTTACTTCCCAGTCTAGGCCACTCTCCACTTTGCCAAGCCATTTTCCTTGGCCCCCACCCCAGAACCAGTCCCACCTTCCAGGTACCTCCCCTTAGGTTTGCTGGTACTCAGAATAAGGACTAGATGGACCTTTGCCCTGGAAAGTCTGGTTATTTTGGGCATATCGTTTATATATTGTGAAGTGCACAGATCTGTAGTTACTGTTCGATAAATCTGTTCAGAGTTTACACCCATGTAACTTGCATCCCTCTGGCAAGATACAGTATATTTCTACTCTTTATTCCACCCCCAGAAGTTCTCTTGTCCCTTCCTGGCTGGTCCTTGCCCACCCCTATCCCCTCATACTCCTTGTCTGATTTTTCCCACAGTAGATTAGTTTTTCTTGTTCTTGAACTTCATATAAATATGCTCACATGCACATGCCCTCTGTCTAGCCTCTTTCACTTGGCCTAATGTTTCTGAGATCCACTTGGGTTGCTGTAGTTTCTAAGTTAATTAGATTAAGCCCCCTTTGGCCACTCAGTGGCCATCCCAGCCCCCGCCCGTAGCTCACCACTGTTGACAGTTCAGTATGGAACCTGCCACTCCTTTTTCTGTGCATTTCTATCCTTATGCACTTCCCCATAGAAAGCACATGGGATATATGTGTGTTGTGTATGTGCGTTTACTGGAAGATTCCTCACTGTGCACCCTGCAGCCTTGAGTTGTGGGGTGGGCTTCATGTTCTCATGCAGACCCACCTTCTGTGTTTTAGCTGCTGCCCTGTGCTTCCTGTGTGGACACTTGGGTGGTTCCCAGGGCTCACCCGGTCAGTGATGACCCACACATCCCGCCCTAGCCTGGGAGGACCCCAGAGCTAGAGGTTGTGCTGGGAAGTGGAAGTCGAGTTCTGGCTGTGAGGTCCATCTGGACCTTGTATCCAAAGTGCTAATGGTGGGCACCAAGATGCCATCCTGACTTCCTTCCTCACTCATGGCCAGTGGCTGGGGCATGTCCATGCTTTACTGCCATCAGCCTCTCAGAGCCTCCGTCCCTCATCCGCTCCCTGGGCCCTGGCAGCAACTGCCCTTTAGGTGGTTGGGGTATGGGAAGAGCCTACTGCCCTTTAGCCATGGCTCCCAGGTCCGAAAAGGCGTGTTCTGTCCTTGGCAGATGTGAAGCCATCTAATGTCCTCATCAACAAGGAGGGCCATGTGAAGATGTGCGATTTTGGGATCAGCGGCTACTTGGTGGATTCTGTGGCCAAGACGATGGATGCTGGCTGCAAGCCCTATATGGCTGTGAGTGATCCCTTGCCACCCCAAATCCTGGGCCATGGTTGAGGGTCAGGAGAGGATGTGCCTGGGAGATAACTGTCAGGTTGCATCCTCTGTCTATCAGGGATGGTGCCTCCCCTAGACCCCGCATTTCCTGCCATAGAGGGGATGCCCTGCTGCCCAGCCTGCCAAGCAGTCCCTCTTAGCTCTGTTATTAACTGTGCCCTGAAGTGCCCATTTGGATAAGTTTCATGGACACTCACGTGTAGGTGATTCGTGGGATCTGTGCAGATCTCACCCCTCCCCTGGTGTCCTGAAGGTGCTCCTCTCAACCCCCAGGTAGAGGTACCTTTGAGGGAAAGTTTGGACCTTCACTATGAGACTCTAGCCCTTGCTGGCCTCAGTTTTCTCATCTGTCCCATGGAGAGTGGGATAGGATGAGTACTGACCGCCTCAGTTTCAGGTTGGGGAGGCAAGACCTGAGGGGACTTGGGTGCCCCCTATCCTGGTCTTTCCCCATGGGGTGGGTGTTCATGCCTCACTGGTCCCTCTTTCAGCCTGAGAGAATCAACCCGGAGCTGAACCAGAAGGGCTACAACGTCAAGTCTGATGTCTGGAGCCTCGGAATCACCATGGTAACACATGGCTGGGGCTGGGTCCAGCCCTGGCTGATTGGGTGGAGCCGGGGTGGGGCTGTGCCCAGTCAGTGAGCTTTTGGAGGGTCCATAAAATAGTTTAGGCCCTGGAAAAAAAGTGTTGGCTTCACTATCTGAGAAGAAAATGCACCATATGGAATTACAGTGTATTGAATGAAATGTCTACAGGTGACATTAAGCCCTTCCCTAGTGGTGAGGAAAGTTCTCAACAGTGTGTGATTACTCATCTGTTGGATTTTCCCCAGAGCTTGTGGTGCTTGTCGAGAAATTACAGCTAATCCCAAATTAAGTGAGGTCCTAGTACAAAAATAATTTTAAAAGCAAAATGGTAAAAGTCTTAAAAATTTTTTTATAGCAAGAAGTATGTTGCCTGTGGGGTCCTGGTGCATTTCCTTGAGTGGGGTAGGGTGGAATGGGTTGGTTCTGTCTTGGGACTGTGGGGACTTGGGTCAGGTGGGGGCAGACACCCCGCCCTTGGCTGAGCTGGAGTGGCTGCATCTGAGGTCAAGGAGTAGGCCTGGACTCATGTGGCTCTTGGTTTTCAAGAACTGCCCAGGCTCAGGTGTGGGTCAAGGGTTAGTTATTTATAGGAAGCCCACTTTGGCACCGTGTGGAGCATGGGCTGGAGGGACAGGAAAAGACTATGATGCTAATTTCCCTGCCGGGGAGGAGTTAGTTGTGCATGAGACCTGGGTATGTCAAAAACGTTACCATCATGGTAGCTGTAGCATGCATGAGTCAGTCCAGCTGACACACTGGCCTGAGTAGTTGTTACTCTCCACCCCCGATTCAAACCACTGGAACTAACGGGGTGTGTATTTGTCCTTGATGTTTATGTAGTGTCAGCACCCTCCCAGCCCAGTCCCTCTGGTTTCCTGGTATTGGGGACGGGGTTTAGTCAATAATCAAAATCAGTCAGTGCAACATATGGTGCAAAGGAGTGTGGAGAGGAGTACAGTGAGGTAGGGGGAGTGACTGCGGGGCAGCGGGAGCAGAGCAGCACAAGGCTCTGCGTGGGACGGGGAGAGGGGCCCACGGGGGCCTGGGGGCAGAGGCCCAAGTTGGAGGCATGCCTAGCGTGAGCTTGGGGTCCAGATCCATGGGGAGGTTAGGGGTCAACGGAGGTGTTTTGGATTTTACCGATGTTGCAATTATCATAGTAATCCTTGTTGTTATTGTGTGACTGTAGCTTTATAACCTACGTTTGTTCACAGTGACTGGGAAAGGATCAAAATCATTTTGCCAGAGATGCAGAGCTGAGTGATACCTTCAGTTTTCCTTAATACTGCTGACACATCATTTTCCAATTAAACTTTTTTTCTTTTTGAAGAAGAGAGAAATATTCACAGTCTAAAGATGGATATACCTGCAGATAAAAGTTGTCTAACCACTCAGTTAAAAAATAAGGCCAAGTTCTTTCTATATTTACAGGCTACACACAGCTGGTTGGATGTTAGAGACCTCATTCATGAACACTTCACACTTACTCCTGCTCCCCTCCTCTATCCCCCTCTCCCTTCATTCTGGCCTGCCATCCTCCTTCTTCTCCTCCTACCCATTATCATTTAAAGACTTGGTTTAGTGGTGGAACTTGGAAACATGCCAAGTGCAGGTTTTAGTTACCAAATGCCACGTTATAAACCAGAACCTAGTGACTCAAACCAATAACTGTTTATTATTTCTCATGTTTCTGCAGTCTAGGCTAGACTCAGCCGGGCAGGCCTTCCATTCTACCTGGCTCTGGCTGGGGTCAGGGTTGGGGTCAGGGTTGGGTCAGGGCTGGGCTGCATCATTGAACACTTCACACTTACTCCTGCTCCCCTCCCTCCTCTATCCCCCTCTCCCTTCTATCTGCCCATCTATCATCATTACTGGGGAACCACCACATCTCAGTGACCTGCTAATATCAGTGGTGGAACTTGGAAACATGCCAAGTGCAGGTTTTAGTTACCAAATGCCACGTTATAAACCAGAACCTAGTGACTCAAACCAATAACTGTTTATTATTTCTCATGTTTCTGCAGTCTAGGCTAGACTCAGCCGGGCAGGCCTTCCATTCTACCTGGCTCTGGCTGGGGTCAGGGTTGGGGTCAGGGTTGGGTCAGGGCTGGGCTGTGCCAGAAGTTTCAAGAAGGCTTTAGAAACGGGGTCTTGTACACGGCCTCCCGTAGGGCAGGCTGTTCGCTGGGCATCCCTACAGCATGGCAGTGAGAATGGTTGAAGTCCTTCTTGCTAACTGGCTTCCACAAGAGAAGTGCTATTAAGCACTACTCCTGGGACTGGCCCAGTGTCACTCTGCCTCATTGTGGGGGTCAGAGCAAGTCACAGGCCAGCCAGGTTCAAGAGGAAATAGACTCCACTTCTGGATGGGGGCACTGGCAAGCACACCCAGGGAGGAGAAGCCCTGATGACCTCGTGGGAGACCAGCTGCCATAGTACAGGCTTGGTTGCCCCCCAGGAGTTACAAAGTAATAGAAACAATATAAAAATATAGAGGAAAAGTAAAAGGGAAAAAAAGATCACCGTGGTGGTTCTGCTTCAGAAAAACAGCCTTTTGTTCCCATTGTCAACTGCCAATATCGTACATTTCCTTTTAAATGTTTTGTCTCTTTATAAAAAAATATATGTAGTTTTATTTTGCTTTTTTTCACTTAGCCTTACATCATTCATATTTCTCTGAATTGTTATAAACCCTTGTGGGCATTTGCCACTATCTACTCAGCCAGTCTCCTAATTTGGGGAATTTCACTTGTTTCTGGTTTTGTCTTTCCATTTGAAGTCCTTGGCCATCCTGGGGGAGCGACTGGTGAAACACTGCATGCTGGGCTCACCCCTCTGGCTGGTCTCCCTACCGTTCTTGCTGAACCCACCCTGGGTAGCTCTCTGAGGGCACTTGACTGTAGCTATGGAACATAAAGGGCATTTACCAGAATAAACACGGGATAATGTTTGGGAAGCCTCTCAGCCATAATGAGTGTTGACCAAGTGCTGATCATGTGAACCCTTGTCTGGGATGTCACAGGGCACACCTCACAGTCACCATGGAGACGCAACTGTCCTGTGGCAGGCTGGTCCCTAGCACTGCACTTTTGGGTGCTTCTCAGTATTTACTATTACAAATAACACCACCCCATGTATCTCTCTGCCCTGAGGCTGTTTTTGTTTTGTTTTTCATTTTTTGAGCTCTTTAGAAAAAAGTTACCAGGAAAGGGACTACCAGGTAAAGGGTTTGGACATGTTTCCACTTTCCTAATTATAAAGTCTGGTAGTCCTCCGGGTCCTTTTCTGTCAGTCCACGCAGGGTCCTCACTTCTGCTTGTTGGAATCAGTGAAAATTCTAGGAAAAAGAGCATCCTGAATTTATCCAATAAAAATAAATACACATAGAATCACGCCCACGCCCATTGTATTGTGTGTATCCTCCATCTGTGTGGTATGTTTATGTCTTGACTAGAAAGGGGCCGTTAGCCTAATGGAAGGTTTTCTTAGCACAATAATTAGTGATCTGTTCAGGTACCAGTTGCCAACGTGAAGCATTTGTTTGAGCTGAAGTATCTTCTGTTTATTGTGGTCATTATGCTGTCAGTGAGAAGCTTCTGTGCTGTTTCAGGCAGGGCCTGGGCTGACCTGATTTGTTTTTTTCTTTTCAGCAGTCAAAATTAGAACTCAGAGTTTGTCATAAGCTAGCCAGTTTTTTTCCATAAATGACTTCCAGTTAACTGCAGGCGAGGCACAGGGCTAGATGCAGCGTCTTGGTAGCCCTGATGTCGTTTGCAGAGAGGTCCAGGTCCAATAGGGTTGATGAGGCCCTGGTAGCCACCTGTTCTTGGAGTCAGGGAGAAACAGTGATGGGGCCAGAGAGGGGAAGGTTTCTTGGAGGAGGAAGTATTAGTGATAGGCCTTATAGGATGCCAGTGGGTGGACGGTGGGGGCTATGGAGGAGGAGGGGCTGCAAACATCAATTCCTGATGAGGGCTGGAGTGGACTGTTGCAGAGTGAAGTAGCTGATCAGATGTGGGCCTCATAACATTCCTTCTCCAGCCTTAGGGAGAGACAGGAATATGAGCATCATTTCATTTTCCATTTGCCTTCTCTGTAATAACAACAGCTGCCCAAATTAGTGGCAGCAGAGGCTAAGACATCATAGAGACGTTAGAGAGGGGAGTGGCCTGTTGTAAACAGTGGCCTCGTTGCCTGTCCAAGTTCCTTTGCTAACTGCTGCCTTTCAGGAAGGTGGCCCAGGGCTGCCAGCTCCTGATTTTTCCAAATTAGGTAAAACTTGTTTTTTTATATAAAATCTTTTGAATTCAGATTGTTTGAAAACCCAAGGATGATCAAACCAGTCACAGCCCAGGGCAAGATCTGTTGGTTGGGTCAGAGCAGCTAATACTGTGTCCCCCTAGCTTTCATCTTTGGTCTAATATCACATGTCATCCCTTGACATGCCTCGGCCTGCCTCGGTCCAGCTCCAAGTGCTGGGCCAAGACAGGCAGGTTCTGAAATACTCTCCTGGGTGCAGAGTGTGGATGCATCTGACCCAGTGCCTCTGTCCCCACTGCAGATCGAGATGGCCATTCTACGGTTTCCTTATGAGTCTTGGGGGACCCCGTTCCAGCAACTGAAGCAAGTGGTGGAGGAGCCGTCCCCCCAGCTCCCAGCTGACCGTTTTTCCCCTGAGTTTGTGGACTTCACCGCACAGTGGTGAGTCTATAGCTCTGACCTGGCCAGATCCCAGTTCCTCCCTTTTCTTTAAAAAATAAGCCCCCAAACAATGTAGCATCAAAATATGTGAGGCAGAAATAGTGCACAAGGAAAATATGACAAACTGTGGTCCTTGGGGAGATTTTTAATATAGTCTTAGAAGTGGACAGATCAGTTAGACTGAAAAGGAAAATGAAAAGCTTGTAGAAGATTTAATAGCATAAAGAAATTTGCTTTTATTGATGTTTAGAACTTTGTACCAAATTAAAGAATGCCTGTGGGAGCTGTATGAAAATTGTGTTTGAAGTTAAAAAGGGAACAGGGAAAAAGGAAAAAGGCAAAGTCATACAGGCTGCATTCTCTGCTCATAAGTAAATAAAACAAGAAGTCCATAACTAAAGAGGAAAAAACTACATTGAAACTCAAAGTAAATTCTTCTGACTCACTCTTGGATTATGAAAGAGATTTGAAAAATAAAATGACAAGCTATTCAGAAGTGAAAGACAGTGAGAACATAACATCAACATCTATGTGTTATGGGTAAAGAGATACTCAGAGGAAAATTTGTAGCCTTTATTTCTTTAATTAGAAAATAAAAATGACTGGAAACAAATGAGCCTTGCAAACAGTCATCGATCACCTTGACCCCTTTTAATTGGGGCTGCCCTTCTCCCAGGACCTGTGATAAGGAATTTCCCCTCCTAATTAAGGATAGCAAGTATACAATTGTTAATGGTGGCATTTCCATATCATTTTAGTATTAGGGTCATTGGAAATTTCCTAGATTGCTATGGAGACAAGAAGGCTAACACCCCAAGAGGCAAAGAACTAACACCCCAAGAGGCAAAGAACTAACCCCAAGAGGCAAAGAACTTGGTCCATGTCTTTGCACCCACAGATTCCACTCTGCCCTCAGGAGTTCCCCAGAACAGCCTCACCCCTTCTTTCCCAAGCCCCGGGAGCACATGGGTCCCCTTGCTGCCCAGTCAGGGGTGACTCCAGCTGGCTTGGCCATCTTGGAGGGGCTGGACTTGCTTCCTCTGTGCCAGTCTGGCCCCAGCCTGCTCTGTTCTCTCCTAGCCTAAGAAAGAACCCCGTGGAGCGCATGAGCTACCTGGAGCTGATGGTGAGTGTGGGTGGGAGCAGCACTGGGCCAGCTCTCTAGGGAGAGGGCTGATTCCACAAACACAGAAGTGGGTTGCCTCTCTGGCTTGCTCCTGCATTAATTCGTTCAGGTACTCAGTCATTCATTTGCTCATGCCTACTCTGGCTCTCTGCTTTCTCCTCTGTGCCAGGCCCTGTGGAGGGGTGCACAGGCAGTGCTGTGACAGATGGTGCAGAGGGATGGGGGAGGGTTGGGGTAGGGGAGGCAGGTGGATAATTTTATCTAAAGGCATAAGGGAAGGCTTCACAGATTGGGCGACATTTGAATTGGGCCTAGAAGGATGAATAAGGATTTACCCACTGATGGAAAGAGCATTCCAAGCCAAATGCCCATCATGGGTAGACGCCTGGCATGTATGGGGAAAAGTGAGTTTTGTGTGGCCAGAGGATAGCTGCAAGAGGGCCAAGAAGGAAGCCTCAATGCTGTATCTAACAAGGAGGGCTTCCTGGGGGTAGAGGTCCTAAAGGATGAGTAGGAGTTTGCCAGGCAGAAGGAACAGCAGGGAGGGGCTGGGGCTGGTTTGGGGAGGTGGGGCCACCTCTACCTCACATCTTCTGTTCTCCAATAGGAACATCCTTTCTTCACCTTGCACAAAACCAAGAAGACAGACATCACTGCTTTTGTGAAGGAAATCCTGGGAGAGGACTCATAGGGGGCAGGGCCTCGGACCCCACTCTGGCCCTCTAGTGCCCCACAGCCCCCTCTGCTGGAGCAGTGCTTGCCCACACCTATAAGCTACTGCCACCCTGGCCTTGGGCATTCCAAGAGGAATCGAGGGGGCTGCTCCCAAGTGCCAAAGAACCAGACTGTCGGGGCCCCCCGCTGGGCCCATGCGGGCCCCACCAGTGCCTCTGTCCTGCTGTTCCAAGTCTCCAGCCCTGAGGCCTTGGACTTGGAGGGGCCTGGATGCCCCTGCCAGACGCTGCTGCCCCTCACAGAAGGCATCCGGTGCTTGTGCACAGGCCACTGCCTTGGCCCAGCCCTGGATGCCACCTGAGTTGTATATTTTTGTATCTTTCGACTGAATGAACTTTGCACACTTCAAGGGTGGCCACACATCTCTCCCAGCATCAGTAGAGGGGACATGGGGATGAGCCACATGAGTCCTCCTGATCCCCCTCTGAGGGAGAAGCCAGAGCCACTTGAGGCCTTCACCCAGCACTGGCAAATGGCCTCTAAGGGGCACCAAGGACACTTAGCCTCTGCCTGCCACCTCTAGGGGTGTTGTTTCACTTTTTAAAAACAAATTTGTCTTTTTTTTTCTTTTGCTTTGTGGGTTTGGCTGGTTTTTCTCGCATGGTTTGGAGCCGATAACTTTTCTGCCACTCCCTAGGGGACCAGCAAGCTGAGACCCACCCTCTCCACTCAGGCTGGAGTCTAGGAGGATGAGCCCAAAGTCTCTGCTTAGAGAGGTATTCTTCTTGGGGATTGGCTTGACAGGGGCTATAGATTTGCTTTTGGTGTTAGAAAAGAAAAAAATGTTTTGAAGGACTACCTGTTCTGGGTTCTATCCCTGGTGGATTGGGGCAGTTACATGATTGCTGTTTTGATTTAAAAAAAAAAAAAAAAAAAACAGGTCAAAAGGTTGTGTGAGACTGTGTCACAGCGGCGAGCCCCACTCCTTGTTGAAGGTCTATAGCCTCTAGAAGGACTCCTTCCCCTGGGAGAAGGCCAGGGCAGTGTGATCAGGGGAGTGGGGGCTTGCTGGCTTGCCAGAGTCCTGCACTTTCATCTATGAAGATACCAAAGTTTCCAGATAACTGAGATGAGGCACCAGGCCCTATGCTGGATGCTGGACAAAGCAGCAGACACAGGCCCAACCACTAGCAGGGCCACATGCCCCACTGTCATTGAAGAATACTTTGCCAGATGCACAGAGTGATGAGCAGGTGTTGGGCCTTGATATTGTCACCTCATTGAAGGTGTTATGTTATTGTCTCAGGTTATTATGTTGTTAACCCCAGTTTACAGATGAGAGAACAGGTCCAGAGAATTGAAGTAACTTGCCCAAAGCCACATTGCTTGTAAGATGGAGAAACAGTCTTGGGGACAGGCAGTGGTCCCCTGGAAAGGGCTCTTAGGGGAGTGGGGGCAACTCAAGGAAGGCCTCTGTGCTGGAGTCCAGTCTGGCTCTGTGATCCTTGAGGCCTGGGCTGGGGCAGAAACGTCCTCCATATTTCAGCAGAGGGGAGTTTATTTGCTCATGTAAGCAGATCTGTATCACTTCAGGCACAGTTGAATCCAGGAGCATGGTTAATATCCTATAGAACTTGTGTCCACCTTAGCTCTGTATTAGTTTCATACTCTCCACATGTGTACAAGTCAGGACTCAATGGCTCCCACCAGCTTAGCAAAGTTGTCCAGAGCTGAAGTCCCAGGGCTGGCTTATTTGATGGGAAGGGTTCACATGCTCATTCCCAAACCAATCACAAGCCAGGAGAGTCAAATATGGGAGAATTAGCCTACTCACAGCTCAAAGTCTGAGAGCAGGCCCTCCCTAGTCCTTCAAACGATATTAGGGCATGTTCCCAGAAGGAGGCACAGATCCTTTTGGGATCTATCTCCCAACCTCAGTCTACCACTCCTCCCCTCCTTTCTTAGCCTGTCTCCAAATAGCCCTCAGTCTGAGACAGCCTTCTGCCTATTGACCCTTCCCTGGCACAGCTTTTAACAAGTTCAAAGAGGTTTTTGTGCCCCTCCCACCATGATGAAGGCTTGTTCTCACCTGGGGGCCTTTGCACCGCCTGTGCCCTCTGCCTGGAACCCTCTTCCCTGCAATTCCTGGTCTCCTATGTTACTTTCTCAGGGAGGCCACCTCCCACCTGGTCCAGCCAGTGTAGCCAATCTTTATCTGCTTTATCTGGGCAGATTTGACCTGCCTCTGTTGTGTCCCCAGTGCTGACACCTAGTGAACAGCTCAGTCAACCTTTGGTGAATGAAAACACTAATGAATGAATACACAAAGCATGAAAGAGTGAATGAATCTTGAGATCCTGTGTGTGGGTGTGCACATGGATGTGTGTGCCTGCGCGGATTGGCCCACATGCAAGTGCATGCGTGCATGGGTCCCACCCCAACCCCTGCTCAGGGCAGGCCAGAGCCGTGTCCTAGGGGCACGGCCACTGTTGCTCCTCCTGCAGTCACCAGGAGGCGTCAGAACTCCGACTTTGACCCCCCTCTCCCTGGAGCTCTTCAGGCTTGGCCTTTGAGAGCCCTGTCTGCCAAC